AAGTTGTTTTTTTAGCATTTCGAATGATTACTGTAATTTGATGGAATCCAGTTGTTTCTCCCAGGCTGCTAGATGTAGAATAAAGTGGAATATACTTTACACAGTTTGCTAAATTACTGTTATGCTTGGAAAACAATTTTTATGAGGCTAGAACCTTATTTATGAATGCTATACCTAGACCATGTTTATTCCATTTTATAGCTTTGATTTGACCTTTTCTTGAAATATGCAGGAAAAAAATGGATAATGTATTAAGCATGGTATGTGTCTATTGCACATCAAGAAATACAAATATATAATGGTCTTTAACAAATGTTACTATGACATTGACAAATAAAACAACTTTTAAGTATTTACAATAACATTATTTGTCACATAAAATGAGCTTCAGTTTGTTGAACGTGTATGCTTTGTAGGTATATGTTTCAAATTGTATTTTTGTTTGCGTTTATAGATCTGTGTTCACTAAATATATATGTATGTATATATACTGTATATATATAGATATATAGATATATATATCCATATATATCTATATATCTATATATATACAACGTATATATATATATAGATATATCTATATATTGGGGGGTTTCCAGAGCAACAGGGTTAGCTAAAGAGAAGCTTTGTTGCTCTAATTATACTTACCTTTTATTTACTCTCCCACTACTCTATTCAGTGCCAAAGAAAACAACCTGTACTTCCAGGTATAGATGATCATGTGCCTCACTCCATGTGACAACAGTGGGTCAGAAACAATTTGTCTTCCTTGTTTAGCAATTCAGCTTACTATGTCACCACTTTGCCTTTAGCCTCCATATTAGTCCCCATTCACACCTTGGCATTTTGTTGCATGCACATGTGCGCACTGAAACACGCAAGACAAAAAAATCCCATTTATTTCTATAGCCCCATTCACACTTGAGCAGGTACTTTTCTGTTGTTCAGAAAAGTACCTGGTCTTCTTTTTTTGGCAGACAAGAGCATGTTTTGTTCTCATAGACTCAAAGGAAACGCTTGGAAATGTGCAACACAATTATTTTTGCGCATGTTTGCCCAGTTACATTAATGTGCCACAATCTGCTTGCCAAAATTAATTGTTTAATTTATGCGCAAAATATGTGCAGCAAAATGCATGTAGAAATTAGTTAAAATGCTGATGCCTAGGTATGAATGCAGCCTTTCACAGTGAATCAGCTTTGTCCAGAGCACATGAAACCTATTCCAGAAGGCAGTAATGCTAAACCAGGAATTAGTAGAAGTATGTGTTTTAAGAATGGCTGGTCAAAGTTATGCATCTTTTGGCTGGTAAAGCAGTAAACATATTTATTTGAATAGTGCACTTAACTATTTTCTTGTCTTTTCAGTTTAAAAAAATGCAGGGGTCTCATATTTTAATATTTTCTCCTCATCTACATCTGTGAAGTTGTACACATGTGTTTGTACCTGTTACATACAGTACTTTTTTAGAACCTACTAAGTCTGGGCTGGCTATACAGGGAGACTTTTTAAAATTATCCAACCTGGTAAACACTGCATGGTCTAAATAGCTAATCTTTGCACTTTTAAAAGAGGACATTGAGCAGTGATATAGAAATTCCCAAACACAACCATTTGCTGTGGTTTTCTTCCTTTAATATCCAAAGCTTACCTATTTTAATGGCAATGAGTTCTATTGTACTTTGTTGTACAAATGTGTAAAACATTTTGTTGGCAAAATCACTAATGGATTTGTAAAAGCCACATGGACAATATTTTTTGTTGTGACATTTCCTGAATAGGAGCTTTACCCATATCTTTAAAATGACAACGAAGACACCGTTAAAATTGTAACGATAATCTACAGTTCAAACAGACACTTTAAGATAAGTGCAGGTCTTTTATTCTTTGCATGCCTTATTTTTCTTTTCCATCCCATTCTTCTCACAGTGGCAATTTTTACTAAGGGTAGATTACTTCATCTCCCTTTAGTTCCTGGAACTCTGGCACATGTGAATACGACATGTAACCATACAAATCATCTCAGTGGAGGAAATGCTTTTCCCTGAGATCTGATGAGATTACAGATGAGATTTCTCAGCAATGCTCTGCTGATGTAACCTTCCCAGGATGCATCTCTTAGGCACAGGCTACATCACTAATGCCTAAGAAGACAAGGAAGTAGAAAAACAGTAATTTTAAGTAAAAGCAAATTATGTATTTAACTAATGAATGTGAGATGATTTCATATCTGCATGCAGAGCTGAATGCTGATGCGATTTTTAGTGAAAGGGGGTAAAGGTCCACATTAAGTAATTTTTAAGAAAATAACAGATTCATTGTAGTGTTTAGGTGAGCAATGTGTACACATTTTCAATATGTTTTGGGCTTCTTTGTATCTCTACAAAAAAATGTATATGTCAAAATTAAGTTTTCTATAAAGTGATAATAATACATAATTAAATATTCAGACTGCTGTTTGTGGATACTAAAGTTGTCTTTTCAGGCTGCCAGTTTTGTTGTGACTATGAAAAATGCACTGATGAAAATATGAAATATTGTAAATAAATGTTTATAAATGATGGTTTTCCTGGAAATGAGAAATAAATTATGGACATCTGCACCGTTATTCATAGTGCTGTGACTCACTGTGTGTATAAGAACTGTTTGCATTTGGCATACCAGAAAATTGTTTTAGGAGTTTAAATAAAAGAGCATAATGCATATTTAGTCAAGCATTACTGTACTAAGGCATTAAGTAGATTAGAAATAAATGAAAGTAATTAAGGAAGCTGTCTAAGAAATGTATTATATCAGAGACGTGAATCGATTGTTTGCACAAAACATTATAACTGGCTGCAGTTAAGATTTAATCAAGTTTGTGTGTGGTACAACATTTGTGTTATGAAAAAATATTAATGAACATAGACAGCAAGCAGTCCTAGTTTTCAAGAATTCATTATGTTTAAACGTCTTTTGTTTGAAGAAAAACCTTACCAGCGCCATCTAGTTTCTTATAGCATCCACTTGAAAATATAATAAGGTCTGACTTCTTTAATAAAGTGTTCCAAGAAGCGATGATATTGCACAAAATATAGTTAAACTGTCTGTTTTAACATTTAATCAGTTATACATTGAGAAGATAGAAAGATTGTTGATCTTGGTTGCTGGAAGTGCACACTGTTTTGCCTAAGTAAGGAAACCTGCCATTAAAGAAATATGGGGGCTATCACTGCTGATGCAATGGCTTAAAGTGACCCTGCTGAGAAAATTAAAGTGGCCAAAATGTTCTTGCAAAAAAAGAGTGTACGGTATATATTTACTTTTATTGTTGAAATGTTGAAATGAGGGTGTTGGTGGTTGAGTCATGCCACCCTCTCTACCCGGGCTCATTGTCCCGCCCAGCTCCTAAAAACCAGTGAAAGTTTCACTTTAAACCAATGGTAGTCAAAGAGCTGACTGGCAGGGTTCTCGGTAGGTAACCTCCATCAATAAACAGTGGGAGTCATTCCCAACGTGTGAAGAAAATTTTTATTATAAATATGACATTAACCAGCTTGGACTAGTTTAAAGAAAAGTTCTAATATAAAGGTAAAGGCTGAACCTGAGTTCAATCTTTTTATAACTATTAATATATTTAACAGATTATGTGGTATGAGCAATAACATCAGAATTTTTAAAATGATGTGTCATATTATAAGCTTGATTGGCTAGATAAAATGTTTTTGACTATTTCCCTTAGTTTTCCTTTTTCAGTGTAGAGAAACTCAGGGCAATATCCAAAGTTTATGTTTAGATTTTACAATATACAGTAGATTTGCAATCTAAACCCAGGCATTCAACCATTGCTGCATTTACCCCATGGGTCTCATATGGTAATTGTTTATGTATAGTGTATCTGCTTGTTAAAGTAAATTCATAATAACTATATACCTGTACTTATATCACGTACCTGACTGGAGACATAGCTGAGAAGGGGGCTGCGTGCGCACCTCTCATCCCACACCTCTGGTAGTGGTGACAGGGGATGTAGGACAGAGTGGGGCACAGGTGCTGGTACTGGTGGCTGGCCGCTTCCTGAGGAGATGCTTGAGTGGATTGGACCAGTTGGTGAATCGGCAGGACCGGGATGACACCGGGACCTCTTGAAATCAGATCAGGCAACGGGTGTGAGGCCAACGGAGCACTGGCTGGATATAGTTGATCAGGGTACTGATGGAGCGATCCACCAAGTGGCAGACCAGGAGGGAAGTCAGGTTCAAACCAAGGTCATACACAAGTAGCCGAATCTTGAGGTGCCGAATCACAGATCAGGGTCAGGAAACATAAGCTAGGATCATACACAGGGGATCAGAGAGCAGAGGTAACAAATCAGAAGGAGAAAGCGGAGTCAAATGTTTACAAGCCAGGTTCATACACAGGAAATCAGTATACTGGAACAGAGTACAGGGCACAGAGGGACTAGCTGAAAACCACTTAGCAACTTGGTTATGGCTTCTTGTCCGTTTATATCGGATAGTGTGCACGCTAATGAGTTTGCACATGTATGCTAACGAGCGCACCTCTGTACGCTCACATGCGTGCACTATTGTGCATAAACATTCTATATGCGCGACCACGTGGTAAAGCGTGTTTTCCAGGCACTTTCATCAATGGATTGCATGCTCATGTGCGTGCACGTTTTTGGGCAAGAGTCAATCTGCAGGTAAGTCTCACAGCTTACATCAATGGAAATTTAACAGAAAGTGACTCACACCACGGTCTACATGGTAAACATGGGCATTTGAAGGAAGCACATACTTTAATCCAAGTGAGAAGGATTAATCTGGATTGATGTTCCAACCCTACAAATGTAAAGGACTTAACTTTGCACGGACCATGAAAAAACACTGTTTGCTTCCTCTTATGAAATGTATTATTTTATAATACAGTTAGTGCATTAGTATAAAGTGAAAACATATATAAATACCATTTGTAATGTGGCAAATGTTTAAGTAAGTGCATATTAATCTCTCCGACAGAGATACAGAATATAAAGGACTTCAATTATCTTTGGATCAAGTTACAACAAAACCATCATTCGCTTATGCAAATTCAAATCCAGCCATAAATGACAGCAGGAAGAGCAGTAAGTCCCGTCTTCCTAGTGCCAAGTCTAAATCCAGGACATCTCCATATCCACAGGTAAGAGTCACTGGAATGCAGTTTATTTTCCTTTTTTAATACACCATGTTTTGTATATATCCGTTGTCAGAGATGCATATATTTCCATCACAAAGGGCATGTTTTATACTTATTGACCAGGCTTTACCTGCCCCTATGTTTTCTTGATGTTTCAGTACAAAGAGCATTTTGTTTTGTTACTTTTTAATTGTTGTTTTGCTTGTTTGTTACTAAAGTAAATGTGTGTGATGAGACTTAGGAGAAACACATTACTGTATCAAACTTTTTTTAATAATCATATATGGAAAGTGTCTGCTACTGATTAAAGTGTAACTGCCCCTTTAGCGGGGTTACACCGAGGGCTGGAAAACCTACAGTATAAATGGGAAAGGTGGTCAAAGGTGTAATTATACTATAAAGATTGCTCTTTTTTCCCTTTTTGTTCACAGTATAATTGAAAAAAAGAGCTAGCAGCAATTGGACTTGGGTTGATAGTTCTCTCATTAATAGTTCTTGTTATCTTTGATAAGACACCTACTGGTTTATGCTTAGTACAAAGCTGGCCACAGGCAGTACATGGCCATTTCCAAACACCTGTATTTTTAAAACACACAAAAACAGAATCTACAACATGTCTTTTGATTAACATATATAAGAATTTAAGTTTATAACAGAAAACACTATTAGCAGGTTAAGTTGGCCAAGGTTACTTCTACTTGCTATGAGAAGGAAATATGAAAGCAAAAAGTTATGTCCCAAGAGAAACAGGTCATAGATGTGCTGTGCCACAATTTTCTGCAGCATTTATTGTGCACTAGCAACTACTAAGGGCTACTTTGGCAGAGGGCAGTTATCAATGGAATACAAGTGCGGGTTTCTGCCAAGGTGCAGACATTCTGCAGTAGCAAGAGCATTGCACCTGCAATCCCCTGATCACAGTTGCAATGCTTTACTGGCTCCAATGCAAAACATAATAAATACACTTTTTTCCTTTTATGGATCTGTCTGCATTTGTTTGTTTTTTTAAGATGGATCTTACCTTTAAATCCCACTTGCAAACCTTTCACTATAGAAGAATATTTCTGTTTCTGTACTTTCTGTATTGTATCAGATGATAAGAATAAGAGTCAGTCCACTGAAAACATATTTTAGGAATCTAAAAACATCCTGCTTGCCTACAGAACTCAATCAAGCTACTATAACTTTACAAGGGGGGTGTAATACCTTTGTTGGATAGTGGCCTTTGTAATCATTTTACTTTTTAAAGACTCAAGGCGGGTACTTAAGACATCATTAAAAGTTACCAATCTACTCACAAAGGTATGATGTACAACACTTGAAACAGACTGGATATCTGATAATGCCACCAAAAATAATCCTAAGGCAAACTCACTCCCTGAAAACCGTGCAGCAGCCTCCAATCTCTCCTGTCAAAGAGCCGGCCCCTGCGTGCTAGGGCTGACATAATTCTTGGGTACGCCCCCTTCTTCAGAGCCACAGCTAGCTCAGTGAAAGAGAGAAGCATAAGATTGAAAACCAGCCAATCGGGATTAGACAGCCGCGATGATGGGGCAAACACTTAATAGCTTGCGGCAATGGCCTATCAGAGAGACCCGGCTCCCGGCTTATACAAACATACGGTACTGGCCGGAGCTAGCAACTGTCATCCCAACGAACAAAACTTTTAATGTATTTATTGGTATTTATGGTTATTATAATTACCCTCCCTGGGCTACTAATAGCAAAACACCCTAAAACATAACTGGTAATCTATACCTTTCTTTCGGAAGACCTAACAATCTTCCTACTCTCCAGTGTTTTTACTATGCAATTCTTTTTTAATAAATGGTATTTTCACTTAGAGTTGGTACTCTGTGTTGTATTTATTCTTGCATGTATGATGGGAATCCTTTATCCTGGTGAGGAGCAGCCCCTAAGAGTGGAATAACCTGTCAGGGCTAGAGGATCGCTAAGGCTCTATTAGTAGACTAATCCCAGGGGTTAAATCTTAAAAATGCATTCACGTACTTTAACTATTAACAATGCTGTACCTTAATTGTGTATCACTCAGCTGAAGATCCTCAAATCATCTCTGAATTTGTGCTGACACTGTCCTTCCTTCTGGAGGGTGGCTACTTTTGTTCCACATGTTCTCTGTGTGTGTTGTAAAGTAGTGTGTAAATTAGGGTGGATTTAATGAGTAGAGAATGTTCATTCAAAGGGAATCTATGCTTTGCAAAGAGATTGTTCACTTAACTTAGTGAACAAGATAAAAATATTTTTTTTAATTACAACTGCATATGATTGGGTTTTCAAAATTAACTTTATCTTATCTTACCTTTACCTCATTTAGTTAACTAAGGGGTCTATTCACAAAGCTGCCGAAGGATCTGGCCGTAGCTTCGGCCGATCCTTCGGCTAGCTTCGGCACCAGGACCCCTTCGGTTCAGGAGAACCGAGGGGGTGCTGTACGGGCTATTCACAAAAGCCCGTACAGCTAAGCCGATGTACGGCTGATTTCAGCCGATATACGGCTGAAATAAGCCGTACCAGCCTGAAGTGAATAGCCGAACGGTGTTCGGCTCACTTCACTTCTGATCGGTCATTCACTCGGCTGCCCTCGGCAGCTTTGTGAATAGACCCCTAAGTGACCAGTCTCCAATCCTCTGGTAAATAATTCCTCAAGTTATTGCAAATTTTACCTAAAAATAGTTTTTTATATCAGTTTGACATTTTGCTTTCTTACTAGTTTCATTGTGGCATTTCATGTATGAAACTAGATTCGTAGAATTACAATATTCTGTATGTCAGGTGATTTTGAGCTGATTGAAAGTTAAATAATAGCACTATATATTATAAAGGTTTACTAGTGTGTGTGAGAGTATTTGCAATTTTATTAAAGTTCACATTATTGATTTTCTGCTTTACAAATTTGTGAAATATACAATTAACCTAACAGAATATTATTTTAATTACGGAGTTTCCTCTTCTTTATAATTTTTTCAGCAGCTTATGCTCAGCTAGAATCCATAGGTCATAACTGAAATATAAGCTCTAGTTGTAGAAGCTATGATTCACTGATATATCAGAGCTAATAAAGTCAAAGAGCAGTATGACTTGATGCTGTGCTCTCTCTCTTGCATTAGAATATAGGATCAATACTGAGTCATGTTATTACGCATTCGGTGAAAGTAATTTATTAAAATGTTGTTGTTTGAAAGCAGAATTCTAGGCAGTCAACTAAATACCAAGATGAAATACATGTAGGTGATTGTCTTACCTGCCAAATGGTTTGTAATTCTGTTTAACAATTTTAGTGATCATGGCAACTGTAATGCCTATAAAACCACAGTCAGAATCACCTTACAAGTCACTGTGGTCAGCAAAGAATAACATATTATGAATCAGTAAACAGATAACAGAGTTAAGAGCTAGCCGAGTCATACAAAAATGGCAACTGCACCAATCAATCTTTAATTAGTCCACGGAAAACAACAGTGATGGATGATTGTAGGATCCTTTCCATTGTAAAGAAAAACCCCTTCACAACATCCAGCCAAGAGAAGAACACTCTCCAGGAGGTAGGCACATCATTATCCAATGTGTAGTATACAAAGTGCACAGCACTACCAATATTGCAACTACAATGTCTCAATATCTATAAGTCTCAGTTAAAGTGCATCCTAAAGCATATTATAACTAATTCATTAAATCCATTTAACATATTTCTATCGTTGCAAGCAAAAATTTCCATACATATCTCTCCAAGAGTGTAATATAAGTGAAAATATTATATAGACTAATAAATAAATACTCAATCTTAAAATTTCATATATAAATATTCAGTTGTTTCTATATAAAAAAGTTCAAACCCTTGCTCTACACCAGGGCTCAAAATTTCAAGTCCTAAGTTACTAGCCAGGCCTTAATAGTTACTCGCCATAAGTTGTCCCACTAACCCCAACCCTGCCCCGGCCGTAACTCCATCAGGTCAGCGATGTGACGCAGAGTACAGAGATCAGTAACAACGTCGAGTACAGAGACCTGCGGTGTGATGCACAGTACAGAGACCTGCGGTGTGATGCACAGTACAGAGACCTGCGGTGTGATGCACAGTACAGAGACCTGCGGTGTGATGCACAGTACAGAGACCAGCGGTGTGATGCCCAGTACAGAGAACAAGTGGCGTAACCAGAGTAACTGGCGCCCGGGGCAGGACAAACTTTTGCGTCCCCCGTGATATGTGGGGGTGTACAGGTACAATGAGAGCATGCTGTGACATGTCGTAATTGAACTACAAGTTCCAGCATGCCCTCACTGTCCCTGTACACCCACCAATTATGACCCAGGGAATAGTAACGAGCTTTTTATTTAAATGTAATAATTTTTTATTTTATTTTTTTAATTGTATTTATTTAGTTATTTTTTTAACAAATTTTTTTCACTTAACTGTATCGCTATCACACAGGAGCTAACAATCCCCTCTGTGATAGCATTTGGAGGTGACAGGTTCTCTTTATTGAACCTGTCACCTCCAATACAGGAGTTCCAGCACAGCACGGTGCTAGAACTTCTGTGACAGGTGAGGGGGGAAGATGGCCCTCCCCTCTCACTGGTTATCACGGAGCGGCAGGGTTACTGTTAACCCTGCCGCTCTGCTCTCTGCATCCGCGGCCAGTGAGGAGACAGACTTGGCGGCCGGGCAGAGGACGGAGCAGCGAGGAAAGAGGTAAGTGAAGGGGGGGTGGCAGAGGGAGGAGGAAGGACGGATGCTTTTCCTCGGCGCTCTGTAGCGGCAGCGATCGAGGAAAGAGAAATGACACAGCGATCGCCGCTTTAGAAGCAGCAGCAGTTCCCCCCTGAATTTCCACTCGTCCTCACACAATTTTCACTCGCCAATTGCGAGGGGGCGAGTGGCAATTTTGAGCCCTGCTCTACACAACAATAGTGCCATAAAAGTTCAGATCCTAAAAATCCACCCCATAGAATTTCCACGTTTCTCCAAGTGATGAAAATAAGAA